AAAGCTCTATCCAGCCTGGCCTAGAACACTGCCAGGGATGGGGCAGCCACAACTTTTCTGGGCAATTTGTTCCAGCGCCTCACCATCCTCAGTGGGAAGAATTTCTTCCTAATCTCTAATCTAAACCCACCTTCTTTCAGTTTAAACTCATTCCCCTTTGTCCTCTCACTATATGTCCCTGTGATAAGTCCCTCTCCAACTCTCCTAGAGGTTCCCTTTAGATACTGGAAGGGGCTATAAGGTCTCCCCAGAGCCTTTTCTTCTCTTAGCCTATTTTCATATGAGAGGTGCTCCAGCCCTCTGATTTTCCTCATTGCTCTCCTCTGGACCCGACCCAACAGGTCCACGTCTTTCTTACGTTGGAGGCCCCAGGGCTGAATGCAGCACTACAGGTGGTGTCTCACCAGAGAGGAGTAGAGGGGCAGGATCACCTCCCTCGACCGGCTGGTCACGTTTCTCTTGGCACAGACCAGGATACGGCTGTCTCTCAGGACTGGCTCTCAGCGCACAACCCTCATGCTCGCAACATGTCCCCCTCAACAGGGGGGGTTCGGCACGGAGGGTCTCCACCACTGCTTGGTAGCACGTCCTGAGCCTGGTCCTGACACCAGCTACCAGGGCAGGAGTCCCGCCGCGCTCTCCGTCTCCCCGCATCCCCGTACCCCTCCGGGCGGGGACAGACACCCCTCTGCAGGACGCGCGGCGCAGCGCCCGCATCCCTCCATGCCCCCGCCCGCTCGGCACCACCCCCGCCCCGCCCCTCCCGCAGCTCCCTCCCCACCCTCCCCGCCCTCCCGGCTGCGGGTCCCGCCCGCGAGTGTCCCGAGTGCCCGAGGGCAGCCAGGAGCGGGATGGCTTGTCGCGTTCCTTCTGCCCGCGGCTTCGCGGGCGCTCCGGTTGGTGGTTCCGCCGGGGTTCCAGGGAACCGCGGTGGGGGCACAGCCCGACGAGGCTCAGTTTGTCCGTCAAGGCATCCGTATTTCCGTGCCCCGCGGCCCTGTTTGTCATGTAGGGAAGGCTGCCGTGCTGCAGCCCAGGCACGTGTCTTTGGCTGGCTGCATTGACGTACTGGGAATGCGTGTGTGCCTGTTTGTGCATGACGTGGTGAGTGTGAGATCTGCGTGAGCCGGCTGCGTTGTGCGTGCCGTTTGCATATTTTATGCTTGGGAAGGCAAAGAACAGCAATTTTTCATGAGCAAATATTTGCATATTTTCCACTCGTTCGAGCAGATAAAGCATTTCAATTCTCTGTTGGATCCTCATGAGAAACAGGAGCATCTTCTCTTCAAAGGTGTTTCCATTTCTTATATCTCCCCATCTCTACAGACTACCCTATTCCAACAACAGATTAACTGCTTCCTGCCCCCTCCACACACCCCCTTGTTCTATATCCGTGTACAACAGCTGAATCAGAATGTGGCCCGGACAGTTCTGCTGTTGCCTGATTCGAGCTGCTGTGATTCTCTGCTGATGACAAATACAGCGGCTCCCTAACAACAGCTCCAAATGACATTAAGCGTGGGCTGTGTTGGTAACAGCCTGGAATGCACTCTCACTTCCCCACAGTGAAGCCCCTCAGCCATCACCTTTCACTGCCCTACCAGTTTCTCTCCTGAAGTTCCATCGCAGAGCAGAAGGGTCACACTAAGTGGGTCCAAAGCCGCCACAGACCACCATTGTGTGATTGGGTTTGCAGGTACGGTGGGTGGGTATGTGTGGGGAAGGTCATTTGGAAGGTCCAGATGTCATCTCCCAGTTTGAGCCCATGCATGGGCTGTGTGCATTAAGGTGTGTGTGCTGCATTCTTGGCGTTCATGCTTAGGCCAAGAGGTACATGCATGTCTGGGTATGTGTGCGTCTGTGTGGGTGGCCACATGTGGTCTCATACATACATCCATATGCACTAGAATCAGTGCACCCACAGACACGAATATGTACATATATTTATACACATTCATGCAGTAGCATGTACCCACACATACATGCATGCAATCATGTAAATACTCATTTGTTTGCATGCATGCACAACGCATAGGAATGCCTCTCTGTATCTGCTCTTGTGCACTCTGACGTGTGCATACAAACTCTCTAAGCTGCTGACAGAACGGGTTCCCTGTGTCTCTAACCCCCCATTTATGATCACACATTTGCTGAGAAGAGGCATTGCACAATGCTGCTGAAATCATTGCGGCCCTTTCTGGTCTTGCAGCTCCGATCGCTACGTGATGAGAATAAAACCTTTTGTGCAGCACAGGGCTTGATGGAGCCCTTATCTCTGTGTCTCTGCACTCAGAATAGTAAAATCCATTTCCATATCTGAATGGAAAAAATCCCCCTGAACATGTCCACAATTTCACTTAGCCACTGCGCACAGTCCCCATGGCCTCTGGGTTGCCTGGAGTCAATTGCACCATCGTTAAGGAGAGAGAGAGGGATCACAGAGGCAGTCAGATTAATGCTATTACTACAGGAAAAGCTGGGGATTCACCAACAGGGAGAGCTGAGGAGAGAGCAGGGGTCAGAAGGCAGCAGTGTACCGTCCATCATTCCAAATGCCTGTTCCTATGAAAAACAGCCTTTTAATCAGTGGTGATAGTTTGCAGAATTTTGTAGCATTTGTTTTCTCCTCATGAATTTTGGACAAAAAAAATACTTTTTTTTTTTTCCCCTCCTCCAGTCTTATTTTGTGTTCATTTTTTTCCACCAATTTGTCACTGCAAAATAGGATACATCATAGGGGGGCGAAGAAAACACAAGACAGAAAAATATGATGCTTGTCTCTTTTCTTTTAAACTCCTATTTAAATCTCGGGTTTTTTTGCAGGTCTCCCTGGAACATATTTTGTTTTTCCCAGCAGGCTCCCCTGCAGAGCTGCCTTGGTGGGCGCTCAGATTCTGTGTATCAAAATGATGTCTCCTTGGCACAATTGCTTGGTGCTGGCATTGCAGTGCTTGGGCTCTAAGGGATGTCAGTATTTTAAGAAACCAACCAGTCGATGGAGTTTCTTGAATGGTGATTTTCAGCAGATGGAGCTGCAAAGGCGTGTGAAATGAAGTCTCATCTCGATTTGGTGGTGAAGGAGACTGTCTCTGTTAAGTGTGTTGGCAGCTGGGGAACTCCCCCGTCTCCCCATGGCAGCTGGACAGCCTGTCCATGGATAAGGAAACCCATCCTATATCTGCCCCCCACCCACCTGAGCTGCCTCCTACAAGGTCCTCACTCACTGTCACATGCCTTCTTCAGTGCCTGGTCATCAAACACAAACAGTGCTACAAGCTTCCCCGACAATACCATTTTTCCTCTATCCTACAGAGATTGCTGTGCCAGTGGAGTCCAGCATTCACTTTGCTCTGCTCCTCATTGCAAGAGGAGCAACACAGACCCCCGTTTAAAGTGCTGTGTTGTCCATCTATCTGACCACTCGGTAGTCAGACCTTTTACTCTTGCTACCACTTGTTGCCCCTTACAGAGACAGAAGCTTTGTCAGTCCATCCTCAGTCTGCTAGAACTGCTTGATTGTGCTTCATCCAGTGGATGTTGCAGGAGCTCTTTGAGAAAATAAAACAGAGGCTTTTTTTAGTCCAACAGATTGTATCCCACACCCATGAATAGTTTGGCTGCTTTTCTCACTGGGGCCCACAGTGTGGGAAGCTGATGCATGGATGGAAGGAGAAGGAGATGTAAAGAGGTAGCAGAGAAAAGAATCTGACTACCAAGAACTTTCTCTTCACCTCATGCCCTGTGACAGTCCTTTCCTGAACTCAGGTGCCCTGGACTGCAGTTCCCCTGATGCCTGCCAGGCCTTCACTTCTCACACTGCCTTTGTGTGACTTTGACTCTTGCTTCCTCATAAAGTGGTTCTGTTGCCACCATCCTCAGCTGCTGCAGCTTGTTCTGCTGCCCAGCCCAGGGCTTTTGGCTTCTGTCCCAGCACACCTGGTCCCATGCCACCCCTTCACTTCTCTTGCCTTCTCTCAAGTGACTTGTGAGACATCTTTCCATCACCCAGCCAACTCTTATAGCTGACCCTCCATGGACTACCTCCTCCAACATCTCCTGACCTCAGGGAGACATGTCTCCTTCTGATGGGCCCCTCCTTCTCATTTCTCAAAATTATTTGTAGAGAAAAGTGCCCAAATATAACCAAGGGCTCTGGTATGAGGACCATTTTGGTGGCTGTAGCTTAGCAATAGTATTCATGGAGAAGTTAAAGGTGTGGGAGGAATGAAACCAAAGCAAAGAAGGAGACCTTCATCCCACCCACCCTTGTACATTGCTGCTGTTCTAACCTACATGCTCACATGGACCCACCCACAGCTTCCCTCCAACAACCAGTGTACAGGAGCAAGCACTGGTCGAACCCTCTCAGCAGCACACATACTCTCACACTCTTACCCAAGCATTCACATGTGCACACACATTTCCATAAATACTTGCATGCCTGCAAAACTGTACCTGAACTGAAACATTCCACAGTTGCATCAACACACTCCCTTATCTGTGTTTGTATGCACTTATACACATGCATACCCCGTCATGTATCCCTGTACACATTTACATACACCACACAGATTAGCATCAGTGCCCAACCCACAAGCATCTCCCACCAGCCTGACTCCTCTGTCTCCCATCCTCTGCAGCCATTCTCATACATGTACAGTCCAGGGAATAAACTTTTGCATACAACAATTTTTGTGCACGTGCAAACACATCAACATCATTTCTTCACCATCCTGAACCAAATACTCTACCATTTCCCACAAGATGAATTGGTTCCTAGTATTGCACAGACTCTCTGCAACAATAGTCGTACACACTGGAGATCCCCCAACCTCCCTCTGCTTCCTGCCCCCATCCTGTACTGACAGATGCCTTAATCTCTTGTATCAGCCAAACAGTACTCCATGTAGAGATCAACTCAACCCAAAGACATTGTGTATTCTCAGAGAGACAAATCTGTAGCACCCCCTCCCCTCAACACACAGAATGGTTCTTCCCTGTTGACCTTTTAAGTCCAAAGGATTTTTGTTTATTTACAGTAAGGCTTAGGGAGAGGAAAAGGGAAAGGGCATTTCAGCTTGCAAGAAACACTGCCTCTGATTCATGTCGCATTGTCTTTTTCTCTACCTTTGTTACATCTGCCACCGGGGTGCAGAGACACCAGGAAAACCCTGAAGAATGTGAGGTGCAGCAAAGAAATGTTCTATTTTTTTCTCCCAGGTAAGTCTCATCAGCCTGCCCGGAGTCCATGAGAGCCTTGAAAAGAAAGAGGAGCAATTAGTGGTCTCCAGCCACGACCAGCATGGGCAGGAAGTCTGTCCCCAAGACATTTTTAAGAGCTAGAGAGGGGCCAGCTATGCATGCAACTGGCTGGTATGTCTTTGCTGCAGACATTTTTCCTTCCTGCTTGTCTTTCAGGGTAAACCACTTCTCATGTTTATAAGGAGGATAATCAAGGCACTGGGATGTCTACATGTAGTATATGCCATTTGGGAACTTCCCTGAAGTGCCACAATCAAATGGCAGCTGATGCCCTCCACAGCTGGGTCATCTAAGGACAGATCATGCAATCTAGGCCTGATCCTGCTCTCTCTGTACTGTCAGTGCCCAGCACCTCTTCAGCTTCCCCTGGATGCAGTCCATTCTTTACCTGGTACCACATAAACCTCAGATGTCTTTTCCAAAGCCAAGAAAAATGCCTTGCTTTTTCTACAAGTTCATGGAGCACTCTTTATCCTTAAGCAGACTCTTGGACTTTAATATGCCTTTGTATCGATGTCTCCCATTGCCTTTGAGGTGGAAAAGCAGACAAGGTGAAGGCGACCTCATATTCCAATGTCTCTTTCCCCTGCACCATCCCTTTCATCATAAATAACTGACATGCAACTTGTTGCTCTTTTCACATCCCTCAGGCTCTTCAGGGAGTGGTTTTTGCTCCTTGCTCTCTCTTTCTTCACTGCTTAGAGGGCGCTCCTTCCTGCCATTTCCATTCTGGGTGATCTTGCTGATCTCGCCCTCTTCCCTTTCATCATCAGTCTTCTCTGGGGGGCCTGCTGGCACCTCCTGGCTCTGGACTCGGCGGGATGGTCTGAAGATGGCCCTCCGGAAGCCCTGCTTGAAGCGGTAGGAGAGGAAGCCATAGATGATAGGATTGGCACAGCTATTGGCGTACGGTAGCACCACCACGAGGAAGTAGACACCAAAGAGGGACGGCTCCTCTGGCAGTGGGCAGACAACATTGATTATGTTGAGGACATAGAAGGGGAGCCAGCAAAGGACAAAGACAGCCACAACAGTCACCACCATGCGGGTCACTCTGCGCTCTGAAAGCTTGTGCTTGGAGGACAGAGCCCTCACCCTCCTGCCAGAGGAACGAACCTTCACCACAATCAGAAGGTAGCAGAGACAAATCACCAGCAGTGGTCCAAAGAAGCCGAGCGTAGCAGTGTAGATGATGAAGCCAGCTCTCCACACTGAGGCTGGCTCTGGCCACTGGATGTGGCACGTACTCATCCCTAAAGGGACATCTGAGAAGACAACCACGGGCAGCACGACTATGGAAGACAGCACCCACACTGTTGCACTCACAGCTTTGGCCACCCGTGCTGTCCGCCATTTGGAGGACTTCCCTGGGTGGACCACGGCCAAATAGCGATCAACACTCATCACCGTCAGGCAGAAGATGCTGGTGAACTGGTTGATGGCATCCACGGCCATCACCAGGCGGCACATGAAAGAACCAAACGGCCAGTAGGAGAGGGCATTTTGCGCAGCCAGGAATGGCAGGCCCAGCATGAAGAGCTCATCAGCTAGGGCCAGGTTCAGGATGTAGACGTTGGTCACCGACTCACTCACAGAGTGCCTCAGGACCACATAAATGACCAGAGAATTCCCCACCAGTCCCACCACACAGACAATGAGGTAGACCACAGGGATGAGGACACCGCTGACAACTACACCAGGGCTGACGGTGGTGGAGCTGTTGGCGGTGGTGAAGCCTTCCCAGCTGCTAGAGGCATTCTCCTCCTCCAACACTGCTGGTGTGGGGAGGCTGAAAGCAGAAGTGTTCATAGCAGAGGCAGGGAAGAGGGCAGTGGGCAGTGTCCTTGCAGGATCAGTTAGCAATCTGGAAATGAGAGGGGAAGAAAAAAAAACATTGATAGTGGGGACATGACAGCTGAACAAGCCACAGATAAAATCACTACATTAACTGTGTTTTAGATATGGACAGGTGTGGGAAGTCAAGGTGAGTTTGTGGATGCTGGCAGCCACTGGAAGATCTAGGACAATATCAAACCCATCTAGTCCTGCGAGGCACAGTGGGCACAGAGGGACACACAGTGATATGGCTCAGTGTGGGCCAATGGATCTTCTCTCCTAGGGAAAGATCCTCTAGGGAAAGAACAACAGACTAGGATAAAGACAGGGAAATTTCTCATTTTCTGCTAATGGCTCCAATACTGAGGACAGTCACCAGAGGCCTGATTCTCATTTATGAGTGCAGGTGCCTTAGAAACAAAAGAGGGAAAAGCATTCAGTGACAAAGCCATTCCAATTACGACTCCCCGATTCTCTGAGTATTCTCTTGCTTTCTGCAACTCTTTTTGTACTGGCCAGTTTATTGTTGGCCCTACCAGCAGAAGCAAAAGCACCTTCACTCTCAATAGAGGCTGAGGTCAGCACCTGACCTGGAAGGTAGCTATTTTGTGTTATGCTAGTTTGAGAGCAAAGCAAGAGCCAGATTATTTGGGGTATACCAAGAGGGATCAGTCCAGGTCTCTCGTCTCTTTCTCTCATCTTCTCTCTCATTGTCTCCCACTCTTTCTCTCTCTCCCTGCCTCTCCCTCTCTCTCTCTCCCTGCTTCTGTCCCTCCTGCACCCTGCAAAACACTGCTAATGACAGAGCCCTGCTGGCCCACCTGTTTGCAACACGAAAGCAGTGTCCCAGCCCTCCTAATCTGAGGTGCCCAATTGCCCATCACGTCAGGGTTTGGCATGGAAACAGCACTCGGCTCACTTAGAGAGAGCCTTGAGCAAACAAGTTCTCCATTCACCACAAGGTCGCTGCTGACACTGGGTGAGAAGCTGCAGGGAGAGAAGAGACAGTTAAGGGACGGGCGTGCCTTTTGTGAGGGCTCTGGGTATGTGAAATACAGAGCCCAGCACAAACTACAGACCAGAGACACCCTGGCAAACCTTATGCAGGGGAGCTTTGTGATGCTTTTAGGATCATTCTAGCTCTGGTAAAATTTTCTGGAGGTATGGACTGACAGGGTCATCCTCCTGATGAATTAGCTTCTTGGAAGGGATGATGACTTAGTAGAAGGGAACAAGGACCCTGAGGCTCACCTTTGCACATCTCAACAAATCATCTAGGACTCTGAAGCTCTTTTTCTCTGGAAAATAAAACTGGGGATTCTAAAGGGAAGGACTCCCAATCTTAACTACTTTCAGGAGGCCAGAAACACTTCAGGGACTTTTCTCCTGAATGGGATTCTCTGTGGCATCCCTTCACAAATGTCTTAATATTATAGCTTTTATTCTATTTTTTGTAGATGTCCTACCAACTTCTGGAAACACTAGGGGAGACCTGAGCTTTAGATGGATTCATTGGATATCAGGCAAGCAAACCCAGCAAACTCCACAGATGTATCAAATCTTACGCTGAAGGGACTTCATCTAGTAGGCCCCATAAAAACACAGTTGGGCAAGTATGTCTTAAGGCCATTTCTACAGGCTATTGCATGAATGTTTCCTGCTTTGAAGCATTTGAGCTTTGAAGGACTGGAATTGTTTAAATTTTCTTTATTTGCAAGTGCCTTGGGATGTGACACACTGTCCTGATAGAAGCCCATCTCTTGGGGTCCTGCAGCACTCAATTGTCCCACACGTCATGAGTGGCTGTAAAAAATGGGCAGAGTAGGAAGTGATTTGAAACTCTGAACTGAAGGATCTTTCATCTGATTTTTTTCAAATGCTGTTCTAGTGACACAAATCACTTGTTGGAGGAAAAAGGAGGGCAATGGCTGCTCTGGGTACAAAGATCCCTGAAACGAGTGGCAGAGGCCTGAACAGTATGTTCATAAGAAGATGATCCTCTGAAAGGTGGAGACATAGTTAGGAATTCCTTTGGATATTTCTCGTGCATGCAAATGAATTAAAAAGGAAAAAAAAAGCCAGACGTTTGGAGAGAGAGCCCTACAAATATAAAATGTGGATGGAGATACTGATGCTGAGGCTGAAGAGCATCTGGGGTCCAGACCTCAAAACTGGTTGTTCAGGCTGTGGTTTAGCAACACAATAAACCCAGGTCAGGGCCCCAGAAACCTTATCAAAAATGCTAGGGCATGCAGCAAAACCCATGGATTTTCTATAAACTCATTTTTCCTGCTCAGACAGATGCAGTGAAGAAACTTAAAGCAGGTGTAGTCTGTCTCTGACATTCTAACTTAGTCAAGTACTACGCATCAGCTCAAACACCATCACACATTCTGGATAGTTTGACAGAACAATCACTGGATACCAGTGCCTCATCTAGCTTGGATCTACTCTGCTGGCTGCTTGGGCAGTGCATGGCATAGGTAAGAACTGGGGAGAAACTGTGGCCTCAGACTGATAGTGTGTTGGCATCCACTTGGAGTCTGTCCCTTATGTGGACAGCACCTGTTGCAAGAGGCTAGGCATCTGCTAACAGATGCTACCAGCATGTACCTGGCTCATGCAACTGGAGAGCAGGAGGAAGGCAGAGAGGTAGGAAGAGACGGGAAATTGGTGCTACTGCTTTCTTTAGAAAAAAACAAATAAATTTTATATGTATGTATTTCTGCATTGAATGAAAGGAGGAGGTGGATGCTAAAAGCTGAGCCTCGACTTGGTTACAATACATGAATAGAAACTGGGAGGGACCACAGAGACCAATAACCTGCAGCCCCTCATGTCCCCCTCCCCACCTGTCTCCCCGGTTTCCCACGGCCCTGCTCGACCTCAGGACTCCGCTGTCTCACCTCGGGGCTGAGCTGTCTAGTAGGGACCAGGATGGACTAGCAGAGTTGGATGGTAGGGAGCCGGGGGTGGGGGGTGAAGGTCGGCAGATTTCCTTCTCTGGGACTGCAGAGTTAACTTCTGCGTGGACTCATGCCCGCGGGTGACATCTGGGATGAGCGGGCAGAGCCGCCGGGTACTTACATGTCGTCGGGACGTACATTTTCCTCTGCTTCACCGGGAGAATCCGTGTCATGTTTTTCCCCTTTCCTTTTCTCAAAAGCGGTAGAGCGGAGCGGTCCTGGAGGGAACGCGCCCACCGTGCGCTACCGGAGACGCGAGTCCTTCTTCCCGCACTTGCCCATCGCCCACTCCGTGGCTGGCGTGGGAGCGGGGCCCACGGCCGTGCCCGCGGGCGGCCGGCCGGGGCTGCGCGGACCCTCAGCCCCACGCCGGAGGGTCTGTCCCCCTCGCTGCCCCCGCCATCTGCGGGGCTCGGGCAGAGGGAGCGGAGCGGCGGCACCGGGGGACGGGTGCCGGCAGCCAATGGGCGCCACGCACGGAAACACCGGCAGGAGAAGGAGGAGAAGGAGGGGATGGACGACAGGGCAGGAGAACGAGGAGCGGGAGGAGACACCGGGAGGGAGAATAGAATGGGGGGAGAGAGGCGCAAGGAGAGGGGCAAAGGGATAGGGGAGCGTGGAAGACGGCGAGGATGAAGGAATAAGGAGTAAGAGAAGGAGGTAAAAGAAGCTGAAGACAGTGTAGGAGATAGGAAGAAGAGGGATAGAGAGAGCAGCTATGTGGTGGGAGAGTGGCACGCAGGAGGGGTCTATCCGTCTCGGCTTCCCTAGGCAGGCACCCAGGAGGTGACCTCCCTGTTCCAAGGGTCTTGCAGACAGGACTCTGTTGCTCAGAGCTGCAGGGACATGGCAAAACCTTCTGGCTGGCAAGATGCTGAGAAACCAAGGTAGATTTTGAGCATACAAACCCTTCTCCCTTCTATTCTGTCCTATGAGTACCTCCAGATGGATGGAGATGGGGGCAGAGGGCCAAATAGCGGGCAGTCTGTTTCAACTCCTTCCCTTATCTGGCTCCATGAACAATCTCTTTTCTTTTGCACTTTGTTTGGGAAAATGCTCCAGTTCAACAGCCCCAAACTCTCCTACTAGATTTCATCTATGCTAGAACATGTAGACCAAGAAGAAATTGGTCTAGGAAAGAAAGTAATCTCCTTTGTGTGAGCAGTTCTCCCAGGAAGGACATGAGGATTTTCACATTCCATTCCCTGCACAAAGGCTTTCTCTGTCATCCTCAGCCCCTTCCCAACATCAGTGACTCCTTGTGCTGTGCAGTCACCCACTTCTTGACATTTGGCACTGCTGTTGTGAACATTTGAGCCCCTGGGGCCAATTCCAGCCTTAACTGAAGAAGGCAGTATCTCTTTGAGCAGAACATAGCCAGGGTTTAATCTGGCATTCCAAGGCTTCTTGAGCAACTTTATGTTCAGCCGGTGTTGATCATAGGTGAGGTGGCAAAGGCAGTACAGGACTTAAAAGCTGTCAGGCTGCCTTAGGCCAGAACTTGGCCACAATGATTGGCTTGTGTGGAGACACACAAGAGATGTGAGACCTCATTGTGGAAAGAACAGCATGGGTAGCACCCAGAGGTTTTCTCTGCCCATGGCAGAGCAGGTATCTGTAGCACCATGCAGGAGCCCCCAAGCTCCTGTCTTAGAAGAAACAGAGCCAAGCAACAGCAGAGCTCTACCCAGGCCTGCTAACCCTTGCAGGACTAGCTAGCATAAGCACAGTAATAGGATCACAAATTCCAGGTCTCCAGATTGCTTCCCCAATGCCCCAAGTCCTGCCCCATTCTCAGCTCTAACAGGGTTGTGCAAACTGCTTAAATTGTGTTGGGATGAGAGCTCAGCCTGTGCACCTCCACAGGTAGGAAGGTACATAAATTTTGTTTCACGCACCTGGTCAGTATTGCTGTACATGAGACGAGGCAGACTGAGAAGGTAAAAGCAAAGGCTTGAAAACTAGAGAGGAAGTAATAAACCACTGGGAATGCATTTGTTTGAGTAATGCTTAGAATGTTTAAAGAGGTTAGATACCATTCTCAAGGGCTTTGTGTTCCTTGCTTTTCCACAGGTATATGCCCGTACCAGAGACTTAATTTTTGTGCATCTGGACTTACAATGACAAAATTTTACATTACCTTTGCATGGGGCCTGGGCAATTCATCCAGCAGCCCATGTGCAATGCAGATATTTGTGGAATTTACTGCCACAGGATGTCTTCCAGAGTTGCTCAGTGCTTTATCAGTAGGCAATGTGTCACATCACCTTATTTAGATCTAACCATGAATTGAAATTGCAGAAATTTCCCTGGCAGCAGGGTACCTCGAGGGCTTCACCGTGGTGGTTGTAGCTGGCACTTGCATCTCCTCAGTGCAGGAAGCAGCCTTTGAAGCTCAGAAGTGTTGCTGCATCCAGGAGTGGTAAACTGGCTCAACTCCATAGTTTCTCTGTGCCCTCCTAGGACTGCAGGATTTTGCAGTGCCAATCACTGCACCCTGAGCCCTCCTCCCTCCTGCAAGCAGTGGCAGTAGCAGCTACCCTGTAACACTTACTCTCAAGTCCCTGCAATGCATCAGGAAGGCAGGTGCTCACAGCTGCCAGATCCATAGTACCGCTGGGACCACTCTCTTCAGCTTAATTTTAGTGTCTTGGAGGCAATTTGTCTGGACTGGTGACTCATTCCTCCCTCTTTAATTTTTTTCCCTGCCCTCCCCCTTCCTATTCTCTCTCTGGCTGTGCCTAGCAGTGTGAGTGAATGCCTGTACTGATATGACTCCTTGGGATGTGAGCTTAGGAAGATTAATGCAGCAGTGTTTTGGTGAAAGGATGTCCACAGCAACCTGCAGGGGCAGTCCCCACGGAGAGTAGTCTGGGTCTGGGTGTCCCATCCCAAAGCCTGCATCCCATCCTCTGTGTGTCTCAAAAGGGAGACAACTGTTCCTTTGGACACATGGAGACTGAGAAGAGGAAAGGCAAAAGCGAAGGTGTAATCACCCCACTGCACACGATATTTGCCCTTTACTGAGGAATGCAGGGGGCTCAGCTGAGAACTTAGCAACTTGGTGCATGAGTCGTGCCGTGTCTCTTCATCCTATAGCGGCTGGGGCTCACCAAGCTCATCGTGGTGCCCATGCCTGGGTTGCTGTTGCTGAAGGAGGGGGCACAGCTGGTAGATGCCTCCACCCAGCTGTCCCATTGGTCACTGCTTCAGGGCTGTGTCCCCCCACGGTGCAACACATCGGAGACATGACAAGAATATGGTCTGTTTATTGGGTCTTATTCACTACGCTGTAACCTCAGGGGCCTGGGAGGAAGGGCAGGAGCAGCTGGGGTGAGGCGAGTGTGGGGAAGTTGTGCAAACCAACACACCAGTGCTACAGATCCACAACAGTCTTTCAAGCCGGCAGAAGTAAAAAAGCACAATGACCGCCACAAGGTGCTGAGCTCCGGGAAGCTGGAGCCATCACTCTCCTGCGTGCTGGGCAGCACCTGGCTTCAGGATGGGGCCGGGATCTATAGCCAAAAACACGACAGGCCTCCTAATACCAGCTCAACTATTTTCCTGCTCTCCTTCCCTCTGCCCTGGTGATGGTGGGAGTATGAAGGGGCAGGGTCCCAACTAGGAAGCTCCCACTCTTCTCTCCCATCAAGCTTTGGTCAGCTTTGCCTCTCATCTTGAAGCCTCTCTCCTCTCTCTGCTGACTTGAGCTGAAGTGGAAGGGCAGTTAGGGACAATATGAGGAGTAAAGGAGTTCTGGAGGAAAAGCTGCTGCCTGCCAATGAACAGTAACACAAAAACCCCCTTGAGGTGAGCAGGGCTTGGTAAGAGGAAGGGCCATTGGACAGCTGCCATGAATAGGGAACAGATAATTTTTTTTATTTCCATTCCTCTAGGCAAAGGCTACGGCTTCATAGCTCTCAGAGCAGGTCATCCCCAGGGCAGCCTGGATGTAGTTCCCCTCTGCAGCAGAAGGACAGACAGTTCTTGTCTGTGAGGACAAATGTGGAAAATCCTAGGCAGCCCTGCACCAGGATATGGGAGCAAACCTGCCCATAGTCAAACAGAAAGGAGGGGGAAGTTGTTCTGGGTTCCATCATCCCATGTCCCATCCTTTCCCCAAGCAGGACTGCTGTCTCTCTCTCTCTCTTTGAGGGTGACCCATTCCGCCAGGCTCAGCAGGTCACAGGAACCCAGTATCCCTGACCATCTGGGCCCAGGAACAGGAAAGTATCACTACTGTCACTCCCTGGAATCCCTGTCAGACTTACTTGCTTAGAGGAGGCTGCATACACGTTTCTTTGTGCGGGTGGGCTGTGGGCAGAGGACTGCTCGGATGGCCTCATCAAACACTGTCTTGAGGCCGCGCTGCGTCAAAGCTGAGCACTCGAGGTATTTCACAGAGTCTGTTGGGAGGAAGCTGGGTGTTGTAATGGGGAGGAAAGGAGCTGGGGTAGGCAGTGGGGTACCTGGGTTTCTGTTGCTTGTGCTAGAAAGCAAGGCACCTGCCTCTTGCCCAAATTCCATAAATACATCTCAGGTGATCAAGGATATTACGCATTGTCAGGACATACTTCACTCACTCACAGTCTTGACTTCAGGGCAAAGCTTGCTAGCTGTACAAGGCCAAGGTTTGCCTATTCTCCACCTCTGTAGCCAGAGCAGAGCCATTGTGTGTGGCTGGCTATGTTATCCTGGCGAGACATCTCCTCTGCTGGCCTCTGGATTGAAAACCTCTCCCTTAAACTGTGTTTTCCACCCTCTGTACTAGGTGTGCCATGTCTGAGAAGAGAGGAGCAGGAACTTATGCATGTCCTGAAGTATGGAGCGGAGCTTATGCCCCTGAGCTGAATGGTAGCTCATACCTGGGGCTGCACGTATAAGCCCCAGCAGACAGAAGAAGGAAGGGGAAGTTGCAGTTGCAGTTCTTCCTGAGAGATGTTAAAAACCTCACTCTTCTACCTCTTTCCGGATGTAGAGGAGAGGCCTCTGCCCACAATGCAGCTGTGGCTTTCACAGAAGAAAAATTTTGTCCCAGATAGAAGTAGCAGAGTAAAAGGGGAGGGGAATGTGAAAGTATGTGTTTGTGTATGTACATGGAGGATGGTGATCAGAGAGAGGACTGCCAGGCTGAGATCTGCCTCAACAAGCAGACCTCCTTCCTGACTCTCCTGAAGTACATTTTGTCCCATGACCCTTGATATGTCTCCCAGTGTCCCTCAGAGATTCCACTGTGAGATACATCTACAAAAGCCTTATTAGGTTGAGGGGAAGCCCTTATTTTCTGCCTCTCTCCTTTCAGTAGGTCCAAGATGTTTCCCAAAACACATACCAATTTCCTTGGCCAGAGCAAGGCCCTGAGGATATGTAATGGGGGATAGCTTCTTCTCCTTCAGCTTCTCAATGGTGTCCTTGTCATCACGAAGATCCAGCTTTGTGCCCACAAGGATGATGGGAGTGCTAGGGCAGTGGTGCCGCACCTCGGGGAACCACTAGCAGTAGAGCAAAACAGCAAAGATGTGAGAAGAGGTCATACATACGGGCATGCAAAAGGGAAACAAAGAGGCACTCCTGAAAAAAGGTCAGCAAGACAGGCTGTCCTTCCTCACATCCATTGCTGGGTACTAGAACCTGGTTCAGGCCAGTCCCTGTTGCTGACTCCTCAGGCAAAACCTAACATGGAGCTCAAATTTTGTTAAGCAAAAGCACAAGCTGCTCTCTACCCTTCACTTTCCCATCCAGGAGGAACTTGAAAGTGGTAGGAAGGAAATACTGCTGTTCTCCTCTTCATTAGTCTCTCCCTTACTCCCTCACTTCCCATCTAAAGGCTGTGGGTACCTGCTTCTCATACCCTATGGACTGATCCTGCATGTCTGTGCTTTAACTGTCTTTGCTGAAAGATGCCATCAGAATATAAGTCTGTGGTCTGACAGCAAAATAGCCCAGCAAGATGAATACAAGTCCATTAGTAGGGTTGGCCACCTTCTTTGAGATGAACCAGAAAAGGTATTTGAAGGAGGGTGGTATTTTAAGTTCCTTCTGACCGACCACTCTGAACCTAGAAGTCCTGTTGGTAGTCTCCTCCCACAGTCACTGTCTTTGCAAGACCACCACCAATCTCACCCCCCTCGCCCCGGATGGACCAGGTTACTCTGTCTCACCTTAGCACGGACGTTTTCATAAGATGCCGGGCTGACAAGGGAGAAACAGATCAGGAAGACATCCTGTAGGCATACAACCATGGTGCAGTTAGGATGAGAGCATGGGATGGCATGACGAGGCAGGTAGGGAAGAGAAGATCTGTGTGGGCAGCACACTCCCTCTGCAGCAGAGGGTCATGCCAGGGGAAGCTGTTTCTCACAGTGTAACACAGTTCTAGTCCTGACTGCTGCTTCTTGCTTTTGAAGGAGACAAGGATGTTTGCTCCCATGACTCATGGTAACCATAGCCACCACTATCAGAAGAGCCAGATTGTCAACTATGAGGATGGGGGTTTTGTGGTTGGCACACTCATCCTCATGGGAAACATTCTGACAGTGTCCTGCTCATTTCTCACGGAACACCAGAGACCTTTCAGGCCAAAATAATTTTTTGCCTACAGTTGAGACAGAGCTAGGCTCAACCCAAAAAGTGCACACACAGGACTCAGATGGGGTAGAGTTTCAGTTCTTCATGTAGGAGATTCTCCTGGGCATGGCAGAGTTTAGACTTCCATTATAATCAAACCAAATCAAACCAAAACAAACCAGTCCATCAAGGTTATAATTATTTCATCCAGCTTCACCTAGCTGGAACAGTGGTGTCAGACCCAGCCTATCTGTTTTCGTATTTCTAGTACCATAATAGACAATAACCTAGGAGAACCATTCCCCCATCTTCCCTTGAGATGCATCCTAGAGTGGGTACAAGCACACTGCTGAGAAATATGCCTGCTTGTACTGACTGCAGAAGCAGCTTACGCAAACAACTTTTACCTGGTGTCTGAATTTTAGGTGACTGAACTTAGCCCAAACAAATAGTGGCCTCAATTGCCAACCCTTTTGATTGCAGGGGCAACATTCAGACCAGCATCTGATACAGCAGGGTCTTTCTGAGCTTGCTAAAAGACTGCTCAAAACAACATTCTCTAGGGAAGGTAATCCTTAAACCCTGAAATTACTTAGTCAGTGTGATGAAAAAATGGTGAACACAGTATCTGAGGCATCCCTTTGTTCTGCTCGAGGAATTAGCAGATCAAACAGTGTCCACACATCAGATATCTTTTAAAAGGCAGAAGCCAGAATAGTTGGTTTGCAAAATGTGAGAAGCTCCTGCCTCAGCTCCTAAATTCCCCGAGCCACTTCAACTTTACAAAAGGAGATTTTTTTTACCAGGGCTGTGTAAGGCATCTGCCCCACACTGAAGTTCGTGTCAGCTGGCTTCAAAACTGTCTTTGAATGTCTAGCTTTTCTTGCTCAGTTATACCAGTAATGGAAGATTAGATTAAGGCTCCAAAATATCCTTAGTTGTCTTTTAACTTTTGTGGTTTCAAGGAATTTGTATATCAGTAGAGATATTCTCAGAAAAATGCAGAGACAGTAACAGTCCTGTCACTGTTTCATGGGACGTGCTGATTTTTGCAGTGAGGGATGGAGGTGTATCTGAGGGAGGAAGGGAGGAGGGGCATGGAGTGTGACCCACCGTCTGCGGGTAAGAGAGTGGCCTCAGCCTGTCATAGTCTTCTTGTCCAGCAGTATCCCACAGTCCCAGATTTACAGGCTTGCTGTCAACCATCACGTTGGCAGAATAGTTATCAAACCTGAAATTCAGAGATGTAGGCCATGGATGAAACAGGAGAAGAGGGAGTCCTTCCAGTAGTGTAGGTGGGGTTCACTAGATACATGCAGGAGCAAAGGGTAAAGATTCCTCTTCCCAGCTCATCTGAGTGATGCAGTGAGCCTCCCCCTTATGGATTTCCCGCTCTGCATCAACCTCCTCCCTACCATTCAGTTGTCCTGGACAGGTGCTTGGTCGCAGCCCCACCTTTGATACCTTACATGCAGATCCACAAACCCTTACATTTGCCCTTTCTTTCCCCAATATCCTTCCCACAACTATGACTACTCTTTCACCAAGCCCTTGTCTTTTTTTTTTCCTCTCTTTTTTTTATGTTCTAAAGCCTAGTTTTAAAACTAGTTTAAAAGTGAAGAAGAAGAACTCCTGTCTCTGTAGCTCCCCCAGAGCCCTGCACTTCCTAACAGCCCTGCTGGAATTGAGGACAATGTGTCCCCTTACTCTTTGACAACTCAGCTTGAAATATTTGAGAACAGCTGTCAGGATTGCACGCTTGGGAGTAAAGACTTAATGGGAAAAAAAGGATATTGAAACAATAGAGATATTCCTAGAAATTTTTATTTCCTGGTCCTTTTGGTGTTTTTTTTACACACTAAGGCAAGGGAAACCAGTGATAGAAAGGCACCAACACAAAGGCCTTGTGAATGTGTTCATGGCGTATGCTGACATTGTAAGGGACGTGATTTAGTAGTGGACTTGGCAGTGCTAGGCTAATGGCTGGACTTAATGATCTTAGAGGTATTTTCCAACCAAATCTATGACTGCTCCAATGACAGAAAGGGCCTTGGACAAGGAAGGAAGTGGGGACCCGTGTCCATCCAACCGCCTTCTCTTGGATCCAGCCCAATTCTTGTAGCCTAGTGCCTGTTTTCCTAGAAGGATCCCATCTACTACTTGTAAACTTAGAAAGCAGATAGACCTTGAGTTGGCTTGAGTCTCCCAAATATCCCATTTATACCAGCATTTTATAAGGCCACTCATGCTTCTGGCAAAAGCTAGAAGATCCAAAGTGTAAAGCCCTCTTGCTGGTTTGGCAGACCTTCCTCTACTTGGCATGGAGATTGTGACCAATGGAGCACATAACAAAGGGTTACTGCACCCCTTTGCATGCTGCTTTCCATGCCTCCCACCCACTCCAGGACCTGTTCATGCATTACTCACACAGTGGGAATGTATTCTCCTGGGAAGGCATTGGTGGTATAGCTGATAAGGAGACAGGTTTTTCCCACAGCTCTGGAACAGAAAGCAAAAATAGCAGGAAATCATGGCAGTGCAGGCAGTCTTGCTAGGGTGAGATGGTGATGGGGCAATCTTTCCACACTTCTAAACTAGCCCTGTCAGGTGATCCCTAGAAGTAGAAACACATTCACAGGACCAGAGAGCACATAACCATAGGTTAGACAACCAGCAGGAAGAAAGACAGGATGTCACCCAGAAATGTTTGTTGTCTTTGAGCATGAAGGCTTGTTTATACAGTCTAGTACAGAGATCACTCAGCTAAAACACATCCACTCTGAGATGGAGGTGAGAGCCTCACATTTTCCAGAGCATGCACAGTGCTGTATACTCACAACCAGGGCTGGTGCACTGATTCAGTGCCATGACAAAGTTGCCAAGACAGCCTCAGCACTCAAATGCAGGCACTCCTGCCTGCTTTTGCAGATGTTGTGACCAGGAACCAGTAGCAAGTCTTCCTGACTTAGTCATGACATGTCTCAGTCTTTCCTATCTACAGTAAGCTGCAGCATCACCCACACAGACAGCTGTAAGCAGCCAGCAAGGTGCCTGTACCCCATGGCTGACAGAGGCTGCTGGTGATGTTTCTGAGCTAAAAGCTGGTGCTTCCTCTCTCTTTAGCCACCCACACATCCATGCTGGAGCAGCATGGAGCACAAACAAGCCAGTGTAGCAGCACAGTCTGGACTGGGTGAGAGTACTGGTGGGATAAGGAGAAATAAGGCTGTGAAGTAGAGGAGGAATTTTCGTGAGCAAGGTGAAGACTGTGGTAAGGGAAAGAATAAGTAAAGAGAAATTGATAGAAAATAAAGCAGCCAGGACAAGTGTGGGGAAAAAAAAAATCCTTCTGCTAGGATGCTATTTCTCAGGTTTGTGAGGCTTGGAAAAACCCAGATAGGTTTCAGTTACAGGACACATGAGGTGGAGGTGATGAGAGCAACCTGCCTCTGCTAGCACAGCTATAGGATGTGGGAGATGTCTTTCCTGAGACAGATGGCTTTCCTGGGACATTCCTATTTCCTGGGAATGCTGAAACCATCTCAGCTGTACCTGCAAAGTCCCTGTCACAGACCTGCAGCCCTGCCTTTTTGTGTGCCCTTGACAGGCATGACTGGTATCTTCACCGTGGCCACAAGTCACCTGCCTCAGTCACTGGACTGTGGGGCAGCTGAGGAAAAGCTGAGCTCTTTGGCTTTGCTCTGATATTTGTTTCTTCCTCCTGCCACTCCTCTTTCTTGGATCCTTCTCTCTCAGTCCCTGCATTTTCCCCAGCTCCATTGCTTCCCTGTTATCATTGAGATATTGAGGGAGGGCCATGGAGGCTTCTTGAAACTCTACAGGTGATATTTCAGGAGATCTATGGGCCTGTGAGTGCATCAGTCATGGAAGAGGGGCAGGTTCTGAACTGGTGTGGTTGAACAGAGAGGAGCACAAAGGGTCAGTGAAGGGGTGAATGTTAAAACACAGAGGTGAGGTTAGTGGCACCTACAGGCTCTTGTGACTGAACTCAGGGAGTGTTAAGAGGACAGTGATGTATGATGGGGGGGTCTATGGGGGCAGAACAGCTATGGGGCAACATGCAGGCCCATTAGCTGAGTAATGTGGTTGGCAGGTTTGAGCCAAGAGCGTGACATGGCTGGTATGGCTGTGAGGGAGGTGAGAGGTGGTGAACCAAGAGCTCAGAGCAATGGGGGGATAACTGCACTGCTGTGTTGCAAGATGGTGAGAGGTGTACAGAGAAGCAAAAGGATGGGACAGAAGACATTTAAGAGGAATTGAGGACAGAGGGGTTGAGAGCAGGATGTGTTGTGGGGTTAGCCATGATATGAGGGGAATGATGCCTTCAGGAACGGCTGCAAAGTTGGTGCTATGTGTGAGGGGCAAACTAGGGAGGTGGGTAACAGGGCAACAGAGAAATGCCCAATGGAGTTGTTCATCCAGCTCTAGCTTGAAGCCTTCAGGGGACTTTTCTTAGAGATAAAGTTTTTTATTTGGGGCCCTGTCTTTCCTTGTCCCTTCTCCCTGTCCCCTTACTCAAGCCCCTGAGAACATGTCTGACACGTACTCTTATGTTTGCAGACAACTTTTTCCCCAGGCGAGCTTTGAAGGAGGAAGTGACTGTGAGGAGCAGGACTGCTGCAAATGCCTCTTCATTTGCTACCTTACAGCTGCCCCAGATAACAGTCTGGCCAGCTTCTAGATGGGAAATGAATTAAGCTACTCCATTCCGAATGTGGACTTCCTTCTCTCCCTCCATTACATCTACTCATCCCACAGGGCAAGAAGAGGCCCTGTCCATTCCATCCCTCCTGCTCTCCAAGCGGTTTCACTTATTGATGGCTTGAATCAGGCCATTTCCAGGGATCACGGGCAGCAAAGCCACCATGATGTGAAGGCAAGGTTTTGTTACCTCCCACCCCCAAAGTGGCCTGACTCCTGCCTACAGGGTTGAATTTGACAGGAACACCATCACCTCCTGTGCATGGGACAGGATGGCCTTCAAAATGCCATACTCTCCCCAGAGGAAGGTCCCTTGCCCTGGGGAAGGAGGAGCAAGCAACTAGTAGCAAGCCTGCAGGAGGTCAGAAGCAAAGTCGGGGAGGTTTCCTGAAGCAGCCACCTCTTTTTCATGTCCTTTGTCACTGCCTATCCCTCCCCACAGCCACAGCAAACCCGCAGGGTACCTACCCGTCTCCCACCACGACACACTTGATGGCTTGCATGGCTCTGGATCCGTAGTGGAGGACAGTGCCGGGGAAAAAGGAAAGTCAGGCCAAGGCAAAGAGCAAGGAGAGATGGGCAAATATGTGTATCAGCCCTTGTGCTGCAGTGAATAGCAGGTTGCAAGGAGGGAGGAAGTGGAAGAGGGAACTTCACTCGATGATCACCCTGTGGTTCCTCCTCCCCTCCCACCGCAATGTAGCTCTGTGGCAGAGGCCGTTAGCTGGAGGCGGAGCAGGCGTGGCTTCATGGCTGGGATGATGACTACTGTAAGAGTTTTTGTTCTCCCTATGTGTCTCACACACAGTCCCTTCCCATCTCATCGCAGTGAATGGCTGAGGGCACCAAACTGCTTTTCCCGGGGAGCTGAACAAGGGTTAGAAGTGGGGTGAGAAAGCAGAGGAGTGGATTTTTCTCTTCCCTCCTTTATTATCCAAACTTTGGAGGAGATGTAAGCAGGGAAGGGCATCTGAAGTGGGAGTAATGGGGTGATGAGGGCTAATGAAGGTTTTCCAGGTCTTCCCAGTGCCCCTAAGCATCAAGGGTGAAACATCACAAGGAACAATTCCTCTGTGAAGGCTGAACAGGGAATTTATGCAGCCCCTAGGAAGCAACTGCCACCATATGGCTGCTGCTCTATCCCTCTGCTCCTGTGGGGATAAGGTACTCCCTCACTTTCTCATCTGCCCCGACTTCTAGTACAAAGATGTGTTGTGTGAACCTGTGTGTTCACCATGAAGGTGAGCAAATGCATCAAGGGATGCAATGAACTATTTTCTCTCCTCTGACAATACTATGAGAGCCATTACTGGTGGATGAGAGAAGCCCCTGCAAACTATTCTCTCCTATCCAGCCTCTCCTCTACTCCTGGGCAAAAGCAGCCAGTGGAAACTTCTGCCAGACCCTTTCTTTCTTGTCATAGAATAGTTTGGGTTTGAAGGGACCATTAAAGGCCATCTACTCCAATGCCCTGCAATGAGTGAGGACACTTTGACTTCATCAGGTTGCTCAGTCCTGTCCAATCTGACCTTGAATGTTTCCAGGGATGGGACATCCACCACTTCTCTGGGCAACTTGTTTGAATCTGGTTTGAATCTACTCTCTTTTAGTTTAAACTATAACCTCTTGTCCTGTCACTACAGGCCCTACCAAAAAGCCCGTCCTTGTCTTTCTTATAGGTCCCCTTAGTGTATTGAAAGGCTGCAATAAGGTCTCCCCAGATCTTTCTCTTCTTCAGGCTGAATGACCCCAACTCTCTAAGCCAGTTCTCATTGCCCTCAGAAGATAAAAGATTTGTAGAGCTAAGCATCAAGAGAAGCAAGTACCCTAAGAAAGAAGAGACAAAGAGCATGATGATCCCAGGAAACTCTACCCCTTCCTTTCCCTTATCGAAATAAGGGTCTGCATCCTCTTCCTTCCTTCTCCATGCAACATAAGCCTGGGAAAGCATCTATGTATGAATATCTGTGTGCTCCAGCCTGAACTGAGGATTGCATGGGCACAGAATTAATTAGAATTTCCAGGCTTTGTCAGGAGGTCGTTTAGACCAAGAACAGTGAGTTTGCAGCTGGGATATTCCAGAAGGAAGGATCTCTGAATAAAAGCATTTCTCTGAAGGTCAATGACCTTTGTGCTGCTGCAGCCATGGAAGGCTATTGTGACTGATCTGCTCTGGAGGAGAGCTCTCCTATCTTTCACTCAGAACTGGCCACAACCCAGAAACTTTCAACCATGGAATATTTCCAAGTCTTGCAGCTGTTTCAGAAGCACAAAGTGACCAGCTGTACTAGGTGTTCCCTCTGTGGGGGGTAGGGAAAGGGGAGGAGGGAAACCCACTGACACTTCTGCAAGTGAGAGGAAGAACAGACCACAGGAATACAGGTCAGAGAAGGACATAAGGGAGAGGGACAAAGGCTGTTACAGAGGGGAGCTGGAAAGCACAGGCAGACAGAGAATGTAATGGGCCAGGGGATAGGGACTCAGAAGAGAAGGCAGGTGTATCTGGTTCTAGAGAATGCTACTGGTGGATGGAGAACAACCATGATAACTCCCTGGGCAATCAAACACATTGAGAGCTCTCTGTGGGAGACACCTGGGTGACAAGTGAGGGCTCAGGGAGCTGGAGCTGATGGAGCATCTGGAGATTCAGGGAACTCTAGGTTGGGCAAGCAGCCTGGGACAGGCAATCAGCAACTTAACCCCTTTCTCGTAATACTGCAGTTGGAATCAGCTTCTCCAAAGGAATAGTTCAGTTTTCCCCATATATTTTCTCTGAAGGTTTTCAATAAATCTTATGTGTCTGGGGAGAAGCAGGCAGGAAGAAAAGAAAACACCTGGAGTGAGAAGGATGGCGACTGAGGGGAAAAGAGCTGGGGAGGCCTGGACAATACATTGAGTCTTACCTGGGAGACAGTAAGTCATATGACAGTGCTAGGGATGGGATTCAAGCTAAGGCAGACTGCATGGAAAACTGACCAGTGGCACAATAGGACCTGGTTGCAGGGATGAACAGGGACCATCGACCTGCTGAATGCTAGTGTGTGCTTCCATTCTTGTTGTCTAGCACATGGGCTTATGGGACTGGCAGTGTTTAAGAGGTTGGAGAAGAAGAAAACCAGTTAAATTGGTCAGGGAGGAGGGATTGTTGTGGAGAACCCATGTCAAAGACACTGTAAATTCTGCATGGCCAACAATGAGCTGTGGAAGTCCTGGCAAGAATCCATTTCTGGGTAAACTACTTTTGGAAGATGATTCCCTGCAACCACTACGGATAGTCAGTTCTTGTCCAGTCAGAGGTCTGTGCTGGGAATCCTTCCTCCACCAGTGCCTCTGTAGGGGAACAATAGGGATCTACATAAAAGCTTCTAGGGTGTTTCTTTCCATCATATTTAAATTATTAAAAATGGGCTATTACATTCAAATAGCATATATAGTAATAACTCTGAGAACAACTGGCACCTGCTGCATTAAAATCTCTCATTTGTATATGCTGCAGAAAAAAGAAAGAACCTGCAGGAAGAAGGCCCATAACCCCAAAATGAGCACATACAAATCTGTTGCTGCTGCAGCTTTGATGTTCTCCTACACCACCAAGAGGTGCTCTTGACATGAGTTTCCTTCTGCATGTGCAGCGGGGCTGAGGGAAGGCAGGCACACATTTAGGGTTTCTTGTTCCCTTCACTGAGTTTGAGGGAGACACCTGCAGGAAAGAACTGTTCTGTGAGACAATTTTGCTCCGAGAGACTTTCAGGGTCCTGAGCTGGGTCACAAGGGAGGAAATGCATGACATCATTTTTCCCCCCACAAGGACCTAAAGCAGTGAGGATCACCTATCTCTCCCTCTCTTTCGCTGGTGTTCTGCTTCCTCAGGGATAATGGGCAAAGGGTAAGGGGGAGTCTTTCAGAAATGGTGTCTGCACCTCACAGCCCTGCACAGGAGGGCAGGAGCTGAGCAGGAGGCTTGTTCTTCAGCACAGATAGAGTAGCAGAGAGGATTCTTTCATGGAGGAAGCACAAGGCTCATTTCTTTGCGCACAGAGGACATGGTCACAGCATGTATTCTCATTGCCTGGGTCCTGATAGGATTTATTTGAAGTGAGCTCTCTCTCAGGCAATCCTGAGTGGCCATGAGAACTTTTCTCTGTGTGTTGAGCCCCCACCACAGTAAAGAGCAGTTTGCTTCAGCCTGACTGGGCTGCAAACTTGCAATATTCCCTTTTTGTACCTTCCCACTTCCCCATTGACACAGCTTCATGCCATCTGTCCCCTGCTTTTAGTTCTTGCTTTGCTGCTTCTCTTTTCCAAAATTCCCACCCCCCTCACTGCTGCGGTTTCTCAGGCTGCCACACGTCTTTGAAAAGCCTGCCCTAACTTCAGAGCTCAGATCATAACTGAAGTGGGTGATGATGTTCTGCAATCCCTGTTAGAGAGGTTGTGAAGTTGTTTCATACCAGGTCTATTTTCTGACATGGCCATACCAAAGGCCTCTCTAGCCAAAATTTATTCTGTCAAGAAGCAGCTTAGAAAAAGAATGAAGTTTTCAATCCAGTCTCACTGAACACAAACTACTTACATTTACATCCATCATAAGCAACTCAGCTTGCAAATGGTGTTTACTGAGTTTTGAACCTGTCTTACTCATGGGTCTTTGTGGAGACCAGCCCTACTGCAATCAGGGGCAGGTGGTCCATTCCTGATACCCTGTGTTAAGCAGGCTCCTCTGTCTTCAGAGTAACTGCTCTCAGCCTTTTTGCTTTGGGACAAAACAGCAGGTTCACTGCTATTCTCCTACCTGGAGCACTGAAAGGGGTTCCCCTCCTCCACCTCTTCTCCATTATGTATCTGGGTAAGCAGAAGACCAATGGCACAGACTTTTGGGCATCAAGATCTTTGTGATGGCTGTTTCACACTTGCATTTCCCTCAATTAAGAAATTGTTCACAAACCCCATACAATACTGGATTTTTTGTGGCTTGGCCTTGTCTGATTCTCTGTACTTCTGCAGGTCCCCAGTGATCCTGATATGGGCTTCCATTCCCATAGACATTTTACTCTCAGACAGTGACAACCCCATCTCACTGATATGAGCCTGCTACATTAATACATATTTTTACTGGTAAGTGATGGTGTCTTCTAGGAAGGCTGCATCAAAGAAGTGAAAAGAGATGTTGAGAGGACTAAGGAAATCTGTAGCTACTCTGTTTTACAAGACTAATATTTCCTGAACTACCAAAGTAAAATCTTGTGCTTCCTTTTTACCATTTTATTTCAAAGGCATAAACCTTCAGTTTTGCTGTACTTCCAAGTCCAACAAAAAAATCCCTCTGGCTCTTCATTTAGGTTTATCAGACTCTAAGTGACCCTTCTGTAATCTTTATAAGAAGGTTTTTTTTTTGCCTGGAGCCTTTTAAAACTACCATTTTTCTACCTTTTAAATAGACTCCAGTCCTTATACTCAACCTGAATGGCAGCCTAAACCTCCTGAAGGGGCTATTGAATTTGTACAGACCTGTACTTTGTTTCTGTGTGGATAGCTGTGGGAGTACAGTTAACATGTTCAGCACAGAAAAATACATGGCACTTTGTCACTGTCTTTATCCCCTTGAAAGTAGTAAGAAATA